TACCACCCTATGGTCATCGTCATGATTTTGTACCACGCAGACCAGATGTATGTTAAGAATTCCAATTTACTTGTTTTTTTCATCATCTCTCTTTCTCGTTAGATGTTTGGTGATGGTGGTGCATTTCCCGAAATCCATATGGCACAATATCCACTTAATATGGGTCTTACCAAAAATCAAACATCAAATGCAATTCAACTTCAAGTTGATGCTGATGGAAAACCAAAATTTGATGCTATCGTTAAACAAAATGTCAAAGGCAGTAAAGTAAGTTTGATCATTTCTTGTTTTATATACTTAATTTTTATTTTTGTTAGATTGTTTATTCAAGTTTTGTCGATTTATTACCTAAAGAAGTTCGTGAAGATGATCCAAGTTTACAAAAACCATCAGACGAAGAATTAAAAGAAGTAAATAAACTTTTATTTATATTTAATTCAGTCATGTCTTATTGATGTTTTTTTCTTTTAAGAAAACAGAAAAAACTCGTCAAGCACTCGAAGCACTCGTATCATCTAAAGTATCATCTGCTTTACCTGTTCAACATGCAGAAAAACAAGCACCTGTTCAATATATCCGTTATACACCTTCGCAGCAAGGAGCTGCATTTAATTCCGGTGCTAAACAACGTATTATTCAAATGGTTGAAGTTCAAAAAGATCCTATGGAACCACCTCGATTTAAGTGAGTAAAAAAAACAAAAAAAAATTATAAGTTCCATTATCTATTTAATCTATTAGAATTAATAAGAAGATTCCTCGTGGACCTCCAAGTCCTCCAGCACCAATTCTTCATTCACCAACACGAAAAGTTACTGTAAAAGAACAACAAGATTGGAAGATTCCACCATGTATATCCAATTGGAAAAACGCTAAAGTATGATTTTCGTTTTTATTTTATTATGACAATGTTTGAATTCTTTTAGGGTTATACTATTCCACTTGATAAACGTTTAGCAGCTGATGGTCGTGGTCTTCAAAGTACACATATCAATGAAAATTTCGCTAAACTTGCTGAAGCTTTATATACCGCTGATCTAAAAGTGAGATTTATTTTATGAACCGAGGGAAGACTGTGCCTTTTTTTTTCTCTTCTTCTTTTTAGGCTCGTGAAGCAGTAGATATGCGTGCTAAAGTAGAAAAACAAATAGCTAAAAAACAAAAAGAAGAAAAAGAAGAACGATTACGTGAATTAGCTCTTCATGCTCGAACAAATCGAGCTGGCATTCGTCCTGCAGGTAAATTATTTATTTAACTTGAAAAAAATGTTTTTCTTTTGTTTTTTTTTCTTTCTTTTAGATAAGAGTGATGATCAAAGTGCTGAACGAGATGAAATTCGACAGGAAAGACAGAAAGAACGACAACGTGCTGCTGCTCTTCAACGAGCTGGAGGCGATAAACGGTATTTAACAAATAATCGACATAAAAATTGTTATGCTCTCGTCTTTTTTCTTCTCTCTATTTATTGTAGAAATCGTCCAAAAGAACGTGATATTAGTGAACAGATTGCATTAGGTGTACAAACTGCAAGTAATACAGGTGTTCAATATGATCAACGTTTGTTTAATATGTCAGCGGTAAGAGTTTTTGTTATTCATATCGTTGTTTTTCGTCAATGACTAAATATTGTTTTTGTTTTGCTATTTGTGTAGGGTTTTGGTAGTGGTTTGGGTGATGATGAAGCTTATAATGTGTATGATCAACCTTGGAATACATCAACTGCTGTTGCTTCTCAAATTTATAAACCAACAAAAACAACGAAAGATAATTTTGAGGATACTGAAGCTTTAATTAATGCTTCGAAACGGTTCGACTTTTTTTCTTTTCTTTATTTATTAAAATAATTTGAATATTATTATTTATTTAGATTTGAACAAGACCGTGGCTTCAAAGGAGCTGATCGAGCAGCACCACGTGATGGTCCTGTACAGTTTCAACGTGAAGAAGATCCATTCGGTTTAACTGGTTTCTTGAAAGATGTACGACATGGTGGTACAGGTAGTTCGGCTCCGTCAGCTAATTCATCGTCAGTTTCATCGTCAAAACGCAGTAATGCCGATGATCGAGAAGAACGAAGTAGTGAAAAACGTCGCAAGAAATAAATTAATCTTATTTGGATTTTTGGTTTTTGTATATTATGTCTCGTTATTTCCTGATCTTTTTTTTTTTTGTTGTTCTTTATCTTTCTAATACTCTTCAAGTTGTTTAACATGTTGAGGAAAAGAAACATTCCTCATGTGATTGGTCTCATTATTATTAGCAGTTTTTTTTGTCTTTGCCCCTGTTTGTCTGTACAACGTTTTTCGACTGAAATAAATGTAAAACTGCATAAGTGTTCATGATCATTGGATATAATTTTGTTTGTATTTGATAAATTGGCATATCTGATACCTATTCAATTCAAGGGAAACACATCCATGAATGTATTGAATATTTGAAATTGAAAGAGTCCTTCAATGAAAAACAAATCTGTTATGATTTATTTAGACCTTCAGGAGAAGGACCAAAATAATGAATCACTTATGATATCGAATTGTTATGAGCAACAACATTTATGTGAAGAAACAGGAGACTAGACAAAAAGGTATGTCAAACAGCAAGGACAAGAAAATGCGTGGTACGATGAAGAAAGAAGAGGCTGAATTTATTTATTGCTTGATTTCTTTTTTGGTTTTCAATGTTTGCCATTGATTGCTCTCAATTATTTTGACACTGTGAAGTAATAGATTCCAGTTATTTCTGATAATTCTACTCGTATTAGCTGTTTAACAGAGCAACAATCTTATGCTATAGACGGTTGAATCGATCATATTTAAAGTAAGGTCAGGAGAATGTAAAATCTGAGTAGATTTTATTTTCATTTTATTTAGATATGATTTTATACGCTGATTATAAATATATAGTTTTTATCTCAATTGGATCACTGTTTAGTGAAAATGGTCAACTTATCACTAAGGTCAAATCTATGACAAAAACAATCCCATTATTTTTCGAAACTTCTCACGTTTTTCTTATACATGTATTTTCTGTAATATCTGTGAATAGTTTATTTTAATTTAAAATCACAAACTGAGTGTAAAAATATTATTCGATTGGATTCTAAATTAATAAAGAAAAAATATTCCGTTCAAAACGGACAGCTTAAGCATACATCTTCCAACCAAAATCTTTTCGTTGATTTTTGTAATCTATGTTCTATTTTTTTGCTTTCAAATCAAGATTAATGACAAGAATGATTATTAAAAACTTTATTTAAGTAGAATACATGATCAATCAGTTTTTACTTAAAGAAAGATTGTCAGTCTTTTTTGTACTATTTATTAAAATTGAAATGAATCGGCTAGTAGAATGCTTCCATCTATAGATTATCTATTTTCTAAGATTCAGTAAGTGCTTGTGTATTTGTCTTGTATTTTGATTTGTATAGTTGAATATATATTCTTACCCAAACTTTGTTTCAGCTACTAACACAGTACAATAATTATAGTGGATTCTAAATAAGAAACAGTTAATAAATGAAGCATTTTGTCAAAAGACTCATTTCCGGTATTTTTCAATAGTATTAAAAAACTAAAACTTTTAATTGTAGTAAATAATGATTAATCATTCGCGCTACTTAAATAAAAAGTCCAAGTCAATCTTGTAATTAAACTTGACTTGAGATCAAATAGATGTAATTGTATAATGCGAAGAGAAGGTAGAAGAGTAAGAGTTTTATCTAGAAATGAGATTCAGAACATATACGAATGGTCCTTTTTGTAAATCTATGTTGTTTTTTATTAGAATAATTGGGAATGTATATCTTGTCTCATCAGAATCACTTGAGCTCAATATTCAAATGTACTTTTGTAGACGTTTTTTAGATTTTGTTTTTGCTATTGAAAAAATTGTTTTTTTTTTAATTTCAATAACAGAATTGTACAAAAAATGCAAAAATGTTTCGATATTTGACAGGTATGTTTTCTGCATAGCGCAAGTTTAGACCAAAACAGCAAGTATTTCGAAATCAAGACAAAAGCTATGTCAAATCATATATATTTAAACAAAAAGTTTTTTACGAAAAAATGCATGCCGAATAAAGCGCAAAAACAAAACTTATCAAAAAATATCGGGGCAAGGAGCACACCTACTTTTCTTATTGGAACATTTTTGCTGATATACAGATGATCTGGCACTGTTTTTCCGTACTGATTCTGAATATCCATTTGGTTTTACTTTGAGATGGAACTCTGGTGATAAAAACTAGTGAGTGTGGCTGCATTTTGACAACTCTGGCTACTTCTTTTATGATTGTAATCAGGAAAATTTCAATTTTATTGACAATGAAAAATTAAAATTTATCAAAACATTTAAAAATAGATGAAATATAAAACGCATTTGAGTTTTGCATTTTTTTGTCCTTCTCTTTTCTGTTTTACTGAATAGAATTTAGAAAATTTGTACTATCTCAGCCAACGAGAGGTATAACATCTCAAGGTAGTGTTCTCGCTAATACAACCAACCAATTGTTTTGTGAAAAGAGGTGTTTCAAAAAAATTCTGCTTCCCAATAATTGCCGGTGATTACGTTGATTGCAATCAGTTTTTGTTCTCCTTGGATAATATCAACACATTATTCTCACCACTTACTCGACAGAAATTGTAGTGCATGCTACTTGCAACTGGTAGTCGAAACCAAGTTCAATGATTCAGTTAACCACGACATCTAAATCACTTGTTGATGAAATGGAGGAACAGATTCTCCAATGTAGATTTATAAAAGTGCACTTTTCGGGGGTTATTCGAGATCGGTACATATATACGATAAAATACTTTTTCCTTCTGTTCTTTCAATCTATCAATGCCTCGACATGTTACCACATTACAGTGTTTTTGCTCATTGCTTTACATGTTTGTTTCAACTAAAGAAAATGTTCTTCTAGTACACTTTTCAATAATATTTTAATGTGTGTAATGCATCTCTATTTTCATTTCAGATAAAAATTAATTTTTGTAACACAAAATGTCGTCTTCAAAGATGACTATTGGAAATAATTTACTTCGACGATTGAAATCGTTGGGTATTGACATAATTTTCGGAGTGCCTGGTGATTATAACTTGGTATAGTATCTCTAATTTCTGTATCTTTTTATAAATCTAAAATTGATTCTTTTCGCTTTTCTTCTAGCCATTTCTTGATCAGATCGAAGGTAAGATTCTGTATGTAAATCATACTTATTAATACTTTTCATTTGGACATAGATTTTGGTGGTATTCAATGGGGCAATAACTGCAATGAATTGAATGCATCCTATGCAGCCGATGGATATGCTCATATTCGAGGCATTGGTGTAAGTTAATTTATATATGTACAAAACATTCTATCGTTTTTTGTTTTGGATAAAATAATCCAGGCTCTTGTGACAACATTTGGTGTTGGTGAACTATCAGCTATAAATGGTAAAGTTACATTTGTTTAAATTTTCTAGAAATGATCTTTTATATACAAAGGTATTGCTGGTTCATATGCTGAAATGGTATCGGTGGTACATATTGTTGGAACACCTCCGACTACATCGCAAATCAGCGGTGCTATTCTTCATCATACACTTGGTAATGGTGATTTTCAAGTTTTTGCAAATATGTATAAAGAAGTCACGGTAAATATTTTTTCTGAATACTAAATTAGCATTGCTAAATATGTTCATAGATTGCTCAAGCAAATTTAACAAAAGAAAATGCTGTTGAAGAGATCGATCGTGTTCTTACTCAATGGTGATATTCTTCATAGTGACAAACAATTGTAGATACACTGTTTTTGTGTTTAGTTTGCTTAAAGGTCGACCAGTTTATATAGGTTTAGCTGTAGATCTTAGTGGTTACGAGGTCAATCTTGATTCATCATCTATTAAACCACTTAATTTATCACTTGTGCGGAAATCCAAAAAATGAACATCAAGCAGCTCTTGAAAATGTACTTGATCTTGTTAAAAAGGCTGAATGTATGATTGTTATTGTTGACGCGTAAGAAACAATATTTTCTTAAGTTTAATTGTTCCATTTTCATCATATAATCTTTTTTTAATATTAGATGTGCTGTTCGACATGATATGATGAACAAAGTTTTAAAATTTATTGAACATACTCAGTTACCTGTTTATGTAACACCTATGGCTAAAGATGGTATTGATGAAGATCATCCACAATTTCGTGGCGTTTTTGCAGGAAATTGTTCAACAGAACAAGTACAGGAAGAAGTGTATGATGCAGATCTTATTCTTTCTATTGGCTCAATGAATAGTGATTTTAATACAGGTGGTTTTACGTATCGTTTATCACAGAAAAAGACTATTGGTAACTACTTTTTCTTGTCTAATCGTTTGTTTTTTTTCAAAAATTGCTCATCGATTAATTGTTCTATATAGAATTCCATACGTATCATACCAAAATTTTTTATGCTATATATGATAAAGTTGATATGCGTGAACTTTTACCTGATTTAACTGAACATTGGCCAACCGATATTATTTATCCATATAAAGGTAAACCATATGAAATTGAAAAACCGATATTAGATTCCAAACATCAATATGAAATTGTACAAGAATATTTCTGGCATAAATTATCAGTCTTTATTCCAGAAAATTCAATCGTTATTGCTGAAACTGGAACATCTGAATTTGGTAAATTTTATAAACATGAATGTATTCCAAAAATCAAATTTATACTTTAGGTATTTTTAATATGCGTGCACCGCGCGGTGTTACATTTTTAACACAAATATTATGTGGTTCAATCGGTTATTCTGTTGGTGCAGCTTTAGGTGCAGCATTAGCTGCAAAAGATCAAAATCGTCGAGTTTTTGTTTTAGTTGGAGATGGTTCTTTTCTAGTAAGAAATTGCAAGTAGACAAAAACCAAAGTAACAAAGTTTCATTTTAGCTTGTATGCCAAGAAGTATCATCAATGTTACGATGTAAAAACTAATATAGTTATTATTGTATTGAATAATGATGGCTATACAATCGAAAAACTTATTCACGGTCCTGATCGTCTTTATAATAATATTCAAATGTGGCGTTATCATAAGAGTTTTGGATATTTTGGTGATGGATTAAAACAAAATCGAGAACAAGCCGTTACGAGTTTTGCTGATATGGTTAAAACTCGAGAAGAATTCGAAAAAGCTATAACGCAAGCATTGAAAGAAACTGATAAAATTCATTTTGTCGAAGTTGTTATGTCACCTATGGATGCACCGAAAAGTTTAGTACTAACTATTGAAGGTACAAGAGAATACAAGAAACGAAAGCATGAAACACAAGAATAATCTCAATAGACTAAATCAGCAGTCATATATTTTCTTTTAAATCTCTTAGTAATCTTCTATGTAGTGTATCATGGTTTTTTTAGTGACTGATTCAGTATTATTGTAGCGCGTTATGTTCTTCTATTTCATCAATAAAACTATTGTACTTATTGAGCGTTGTCAACGTAATACGTAAATGATTACATATAGACTTTTGTTAAGTGAACCTCAAGGCAAAGTTTCTAAATAAATTCGAAATATGCCTTATCGACTTAGATCAAGTCAAAATGAAATATTTGATGAGTCGTTGACATGAATTTATCGTATATTTTGATGATGTCGCTTGTTATCTAAAGTATAATATTATTGAAGGCTACTAATAAAAATATTTATCGAAGGACATTTATATACATAAACATTGAAAACTGACTATTTTATTAGTTAGCAGTTACCGGTCAGTCGATAACAATGCAAATTTCTTCAAGTTTCGTATAGCTCAATGGCATTTACTACCGTTGCAAGTGTAGGTCTCGAAATGATGCATAATAACGATAGAAAAAATAACAACCAACACTTTTCGATTAGGCTCGAATTGATTATTTCATATGTGAAATATAGTGTCAGTAGCAAATGAATGATGATGAGAAGAAAATAATTTCAGATATTTTTGGTTTTGATAGTAACCGTATTATTAAGCAAATCTCTTCAGAGTAAGCATAGATGTGAATTAGGAAGAAAAGACCCAAACTCATAATAAATCAAGCTAACACATATGATTCACTAAAAATACTAATTATTTCCTTTGACATCTATCATATGAAGAGTGGAGTGATATACAATGCTTTCACTTTAAATGATTCTCACATTGAATTTCACATTCACAGTATCGACTTCTGATAAAATTACCTATGCTCTCTGCATAACGATCAATGTAAATTCATTTAAGTCTGACCGATACAGACTCAATATTTTTTCTTATATCTGATTTACAACGTAAATTCGAATAGGCAAAGTCTTGTGATTGAGCTAAATTGAGTTATCTGCAAAAACGAAACTTAAATGATCATGATAGATGTTTGTATTATGCTAATACTAATTTAACACTAATGCCACATTATTAAACTATTTTTTTTAACTATAACACAAAATTATTTGATTTTTAATAGTAACGCTAAACCTAACCCCTACTTTCTTCAACTGAACTAGAAACAAGGGGTGTGCTTTTTATTGAAGATATCTGAGTTTGTTTAAGGCATTCGTGAAGTTTGGTTGATTCTATGGAACAATATTTACATTCTTACATCGAAAGTTCTCGAACGACTTCATTCTTTAACTTCAGAAACACCGACCTATTCATTGTATGACAATTTCTCTTAAGAAATACTTTGACAATGAGAAGGAATTCATGGTGATCCTTATCTATTAAACACAGCCCATATTAATCATATATGTGCAATTCTTACTAACAGTAATCTGTAGGAACTGCAGCGATGTACAATCCATCGTGGTTGATGCTTTGGTATTCACGAAATGCAATAAACCATGGATAAAATTTGAATATGAGTATGATAGTAAAATGAATGTTCACATACAACCAGTGAGCCAGCTATCCATATCCTCAATAGAACAAAGAGAAAAAGCTGAATCGACTAGATTTGTATACACAGCAACAAAACTCATACAATGTCATCTTGCTGGATGTGTGATTTTCTTTTGTATAAGTTCCAATTCATAAACTGATGCCACAACTTTTTTCGAATGTCTAAGAAAAGTTTTTCATCTACCATATCGACTTTTCTTTAGAATTTTCACACTCGACGATGAAACGTCAAAAAAAAATAGCTGGTTGTTTGTCAATCTTGTTTTCTTCAGAATTTTTCCTTATTTCCATTAAAGAAATGAACTGTCGATTTACAAGTAATAAGAGTGAACATATATGCTCACACTCATGATGACATTAGCTCTGTAACTCACTGGGTAAAGCAATATCCGTTGTTTCTCATTATTCTTTTCGTTTGTCAACCAAAAAATATCAACACCGTCCAGGTGGAGAAATAGGGTGCTCTTGTAACCAATGAGAGACGGTCCGTAATTATGTTGTCTTTTCTTTCACTCTTATTGATATTGATAAAATGAAATGAATATAGTTTGACATTACTTCTAACTACAAAGTAATATGAGCATTTAATTAAACTGAATTTTCCCAACAGTATTCAACATGATTGACCTATTGAGTGATGAATTTTTTCACTTTTTTGATTACTTTCAAAGGAAGCAACATTGAACTTTGCACTGCCAGCTATTTGAACAGCCATAAATACGATTCAGTGATCTGAGAATGACTGTATTCCATTATCAGGTGTGTTTTTCATCAAACATCGGTATTTCACTAATAGTTCGGAAGCTATTTGTATTACGAAATGTAACTCAAACGCTTTTCGACTATGGGAATACTGGTTACTGAGCTTAGTCAATGCAAGAAACTGAGCTTAGTAACATCTATTTAATGATATGTACTCATGACAAGATGTTGGCTGATAGAAGTAAATTCGTTTAGTCATTTAGATGTAACAGGTTGGTTGCTTTTGTTGAAGAATAGTTGAATGTACCTATTTCTCTTTTTGTGAATATTACAAATGTTTCCAGCAGCTCGATTTCTTGAGCTTTGATAAAAAGCTTTTTCCGCAACAAGTTCTATGATTGTCATGTAGAAGTCGCTAGTACAGCTTCGCAAGAAATATGAGAAATAAGAAGTCTGTATGTGGGAGAGTAAACATGACTGGATCTGCGGTAGAAAAACTATTTTTCTTCATTAAGCTGTACCAAAAATTATGCTTCTTCTAAGATTTCACGATAAACTCCTAGTACGCTCTTGAATTATAATTCATCATGCGACGGGTATTGCATTCTTCTTTTTGATTTCATCTATTAGAAAGGTAACAAGAATATGAATTCTAATTTCCTAAATGTCAAAAAAAACAAGATGCTTATTCGCACTAAGAAAACTGTCAATTGTGAGAAATTCACAATTCAACGGCCTCTCTACACAAGATCGAACATAAGCAACGTCATGGTATTGCAGGTGTACTTTTTTTACTTTTACAATTCCCTTTTTATGTTCGAGTCCTGTCATTGTAGCTGTGATCGGTCGTTTAATCTCGAGCAGATGTTTGCTAGACTTTTCAATACGTCCTTGAAGTACACCGTCTCTCAATTGAGCGAGCATTTTCTCGAATTCGTTTGATGCCCACACATCGATATCGGTTGGTGTCCCACTCTGGAAAAAAAATAGTGTCGTACCGAACCATTTTGTTTCAAAAATCGAAATCTTTTGAAAGCTTTTGTAAGAACCTAAGTCACCTTCAAAATGATTGTTAGCGATCAGGAAACTTTTTTAAAGGTTTCGGAGATCTTTTAAAAAACCCAGAAAAGATTTAGAATTCGTTTCAAAAATCGAAACCTTTTTTCAGTACACGAAAGCCTCTTTGGATTGGTAATCATAAATCTTTTTTTTCGTGTATCCACTCGATGAAAGTCAATGAAAAGCTCCTCGTTGAAGACCATGGCTATCGGCACTGTTGGTGGCGAATTACTGATATCTTCTAAATACAGAGGCACAAAGTTTCTCTTCAATACATCAGTAAGAGACATTTTTCGTCGACATTTGATGGATATGGTATATTTCAGAAGTTGTTGATGGCTGCAAAACGATGACGTTGTCAATAAGAGGTACAAACCAATTACGATATCGATCAATAATTATATCACTATCCACAGCCACATGATAAAGAATCTGACTGAGTAACTTTGTTGAATTTGTCTGCAGATCAGGGTTAGGATTGTTGCCTTTGTGATCACAGAAACGAATGAGGAGATATTCATTCATGATGAGACCAAGAGATCGTTCGGATGGAGACTTTTGTATTTCCATCTCCAAGGGACTAAATGATTTGTCTGTACTCACAATGAGATGCAATTCGTGGAAAAATTATCCGATTGACCAGAGATCGAGTTGATGCAACACACGACTACATTGGTGTCGCGAATCTCTATCGGTTTTGGCGAAGAGTTTATCATTCCTTCACATTTAGTCGGTATTCCCTTCAAAAAAAAAAAGGTTTCATAAGGAAACATTGAGGATGTTAATGGAGATAATGAACTTTTTAAGATCCTATTTGGTTATCGCTACACCAGCAAAGGTTTCAGAAAATTTAAAGAACTATTCCATGTAAAGAAAGCTTCACAGTATATAGAATAATTCCATCTTGCACCATTATTTGATTATGAACTCCGTTTTCGAAAGAGAGTTCTAGCGCAAATCTATTGAACTACACTGAGAAAAAGGTACCAAGCGAATCCTCGACAATTGTGCAGAACTTGACTATACCTTTAGCCTACACTACGAATGCCCGAAACTTCACTAAAAATTTACTAATCGTATAAGTTATGAATAAAAACCTCTCCAGGTTTCACAGCAGAAGAACTCTTGCAGTGAACCTCTCAAGCCCATTATATTTAGAAAGCTTTCACTAAACTATTTTATTACCAACTTTCCATAATAAAGACAACTGTTCAGCAATGAAACTTACTATTAATTTAATATCATTCCTATATTTAAGTATTTTGCATTCAGGTTCTAATCGCGATTGCATATTCAATTAGTGCATTGATACTTCATGTTTTTTATGCGGAGCTAATTCTAGGAGCAATATGACAAGCATCAAATACATCCTCATCAAAGTTTTTTCATTAAATCGTTGATCTCTGAGCATTTTGTCGGCAGAAACACGATTTCTGCACGCTTAACAGCTTCATATGCTTAGATTTCATGAATCACTCCAATAATAACTTTAACATAGCTTTTGCGACTTTGGTTATTTGACTGCATTGATACAAACAATGACTAAAGATTTTCCAAAATGATATAATGCTTGTTTATCGAGCAGGTTCAAACCATTCCAGTGTATTTCATTTTGCCTCATTTGGCTTTCGTCGTGTTCAAGCCAATTTAGAGAATACAA